CAGCATCACAGCGATCCCAGCATCACAGCGATCCCAGCATCACAGCGATCCCAGCATCACAGCGATCCCAGCATCACAGCGATCCCAGCATCACAGCGATCCCAGCATCACAGCGATCCCAGCATCACAGCGATCCCAGCATCACAGCGATCCCAGCATCACAGCGATCCCAGCATCACTGCGATCCCAGCATCACTGCGATCCCAGCATCACTGCGATCCCAGCATCACAGCGATCCCAGCATCACTGCGATCCCAGCATCACAGCGATCCCAGCATCACAGCGATCCCAGCATCACAGCGATCCCAGCATCACAGCGATCCCAGCATCACAGCGATCCCAGCATCACAGCGATCCCAGCATCACAGCGATCCCAGCATCACAGCGATCCCAGCATCACAGCGATCCCAGCATCGCAGCGATCCCAGCATCACAGCGATCCCAGCATCACAGCGATCCCATCTCCCAAACTTAATGCAATTTCACCCTGGCTTTTAATCCTATTAATCGTGTACACAGCCTTCCAAAGCAGGCTAACTCGTCGTCTTACTCATCAATCCGCACAAAGTTGTCGGCTACTTTGCATAGCTTAGAGTTTATAATGAGTGGCAATCAAAACTTTAGGGAGGGGGGGGGGCAGTTCCTGGATCCATTATGTGCCTCTGTGACAGATTCGGGGGAGAAATTGGTCTTCCATTGCAAAGGTACCGTAGACACCACGCTGAACACTTCCACCAGAGTGCTGCCCTCTCTTGAGGCCTGCCTGTTTGTCTGCTGTCCCTGTCTAACTAGAACCACTGCTGCCTTCCATATCGCCACGAGTGTTCCGCTGTTGGGTTAATTGAGTCCTGGCTTCTCCTTTGCGACAGAAGACACTCGGCTATATGTAACTATATACTGCCGGTATCACGCTGGTATTTGGCTATATCCAGCTGGTATCCGTCTATATAACGACGGTATCTGGCTATATCACGACGGTATCTGGCTATATCACGACGGTATCTGGCTATATCACGACGGTATCTGGCTATATCACGACGGTATCTGGCTATATCACGACGGTATCTGGCTGTATCACGACGGTATCTGGCTATATCACGACGGTATCTGTTTATATCACAACGGTATCTGGTTATATCACAACGGTATCTGTTTATATCACAACGGTATCTGGTTATATCACAACGGTGATATCACGACGGTATCTGACTATATCACAGCTGGAGTTAACGTTGCTAGCGGAGATAGGTTATGCTAAACATTGCTTCACTAGATAAGTTGTAAAAGAATTCCCAAGCGTTGCTATTGTGTGTCATTCATCCACTTGTCAGAATTGTATTCCATCAACAATATATACATGTCTGGCACAGCAACATAACATCTTGGGACAGAGGGAGTTATTTTACATCTCCTTTGCTAAACCACTGGGCAGCATGATCTTTTTACACTAATAGCGTCATTTTCAACTGCCTCATCTCGCCTCTTCTCTAGTATATAAGTCTGGCCACATGCCTTTACTTTAAGCTTGAGGAACTGACCCCTTCCCACTGATGTTGACTGACTGACTACGTCAAAACTATTTTTACTGCTTCCTGTATTCGACTGAAGATGCCTCTTGTGCAGGTGAAACGTTTCGGTAATAAACTCAAGCGTTCATATTGTGTCCTATTCAGACAACTAAGCAGTGAATATACTGGTAAAAGTCAGATGGTTTGCGGAGAGGTGGTGGTGGTGGTAGTTGTACAAGAATGGTATACAATACCGACAAGATGAAATTAAGATACATGTGCAACATCTGGTGGTAGTAGTGGTAGTAACAGTAGTAGTAACAGTAAAAGTAATGCAAGAAAGGTATAAAATACCGACAATATAAAAGTTAAGACATGTGCAACATCTGGATATCTTTATTGTAGGCTGGGGAATCCCGCCTACCAGTGACTATGTCCTCGTCTGCTACACGTCCCTATCTACTGACGCCTATATAACCGCCAGTCTTCTTGCCTTTGCTCCAGATTCTCCTCCACCACGATGCTGTGAACACTAACATCAAGGCTGAGGGACTGATTACCTCATCTTTTGTATATAGTTCCACTGTCTTCAAATTATGTCCTAGAATCTGTATTGATAAAGTCACTGGATGGCGAAACGTCTACAATAAAGTTACCCAGATGTTGCACATGTGTCTTAACTTTCAATAGTAAAAGTAGTAACAGTAATGGTGGTAATAGTAGTAATAATAATAGTAGTAGTAATAATAATAATAGTAGTAGTAATAGTAACAGTAGTAGCAGTAGTAATAGTAGTAGTAGTAATAGTAGTAATAGTAGTAACAGTAGTATAAATAGTAGTAGTAGTAACAGTAGTACTAATAGTAGTAATAGTAGTAGTAACAGTAGTAGTAATAGTTCTAGTTTAGCTGTGGTAAGATAATTAGGGTTTGAGAAATACCTGCCAGCGTCTACAACAGTAATTGTTATATAAATGGTTCAGAAAACCCGACAAGTTAATGAATCAGACACTTGTACAACACTTGGGTTTTTTTACTGTGGACCAACCAGTGGCTTCCTCAGACCGATATAAAGATGAGTAGTGAAAGATGAGGAAGAGTTTGAATTAATCAGTCACAAGAACATAAGAAAGGAGGGACACTGCAGCAGGCCTACTGGCCCATACATACGTTTGACAAGGACCTACCGACAAAAGTAATTGCCCAACCCATTATCAATATTACCCAAGTGTCGTACTTGTCTACTGCAGAGCTCCCGGTACACAGTTCTCATGTAGGTATCACGCGACAACTCTCTAGAATTGTGTAACTACCGGAAGTCGGACACTGTTTTTACGTCTGTAAACACGGGGACGAGTTTGGACATCTTATGAAGTTCAGTAAGACCAGGTTAGTCAATCAGGAAGAATTGCGCCGCTACCCTAACTGATGTCATTAACAGTCCATTGGAAATCTGGAAGTTACACCTTATTTAAACTTCATTATAATCATGGGGAGCGCTAAATCCGTAGGATTATACAGCGCAAGTGGGGGGGGGAAGGTATTCAGGTTCAATTCAGGGAACCTGAGCACAAATCCAATTCCCTAGATCAAGGGCCCCTCACCAGCGTCAAGGAATCTCCCTTGAGGGGTTTAAACTCTTCACCATCAGGATGTTGCCTACTTTTGGAAGTGGTCGTCACGTGATACCAAAAACATGTATAGATGATCACTGCAGTAGGCGATGTCAGGTGTTTCTTAAACCCTATTAATCTCATCGCAGCTGTACTACAGTTACTATGGTGCTTCTTTGGTATGCGATCTACATAGCCATCAAATTAGGTTAGGTTAGGTATCTAACCTCTGCCACTATATATACCCACAGCTTAGTTGATAAATTAAGACATGTTGTTGTGGAAATGTCTCGCCACACAGTGGCTTCATCAGTCATATACAAAAAAGAATAGTGAAGATTCTTCTTTGTATTGGACTGACGAAGCCATTGATGTGTTTACGTCTAGGCTACTGACACACACACACACACACACAATAAAGATACCCAAGTGTTGCACATGTGTCAGATTTATCAACTTATCGGTTCTCTGAACCATTTATCTACATTCATTGCTTAGGACCAGTGAAGACACTAATTACGAAACGTTTCCTTTAATATATATCCTGTCCTGTACATGTGTTTTTTTTTCAGATCTTGTCAGCACCATTATACCATTTAGCTCCATTCATATAAGTGGTATTAATGTAACCCTGACTTGTCAGCCATCTGTGCCAAGTTCTGACAGTTACAGTAATAATGGCGTAGGGAAAAATCCCCCACGAAAATCCCGAGGGACCAACTTCCCCTTTCCTCAGGATAAAACTATTTTAGGTGAAAACCCTTAAGGTTTAACCTAAACTAATGTAACTAAGCCAAACTTAAACAAGAGGTTCTTTGTTCTATTTTTCGCATTTACTGAGGTGGCTTTGTCCGGGTGGGTTATGTACTGGGGTAGATGAGGTGGGGGGGGTATCCTGGAGGGTTGTCCTAGGAGGGGAAATCTGGCTGTACTCTTGGTGGTCCTGAAGCACTGACACATTGCTCTCAACTGAGAAACAAACACCCCCGTCCCTCACACACTAGACTAGACCAACAACCTCTGCACGAGCTAATGGAAGATGGTGTTCAGCCTCCAGGGTGAGGCTGGGCAGGTGGTGTGCTGGGGTCTGGCTTACCATCACCTGTCATAGAGTTGCGTCATGCACCTCCACCACCCTGTACTTCCTGCAGCCACGGTGTTTGGGAAATTCTCCTTCCCCCATCCCCCCCCCCTCACTGCTGGGGAAAACTTCCCGGTCTTATCTTCGTTGACCTAGTAAGTGTGGAGATTAGATTGTTGCACGAGATTAAGGTGTCACTAGAAGACTCACATGCGCGCCCGCAACAACGTAACCCAGTTGCCAGCTGATGTGTTTACGTCTAGGCTACTGACACAACACACACACACACACACACACACACACACACACACACACACACACACACACACAAGCTGGTTTGTTTATAAAGACACAAAGGCTTAGTTAATTAAGGAAGTGGTTACCAAAACGTCACATTTTCCCCATATTTTCTAAAGCATTATTCGTGTCCGTGAGCCGCTCCATACACACCTCTCTCAATGAAAATCCTCACGAGATTGCATCATCAGCACACGCTGGCGAGGCTATACTCTCGGCCAATGAGAACATGCCAGACTGTCTAGTCGAGTTACTATTGGTCAGTGTGGGCGAGTGAGGTGTGACGTCATGAAGTGCAGTAGAACCCTGGAGATGTTACTTCTTCACGTTTAGGAATATATATTAACACAACATCTGCACAAGTAAAACATGATTAGAATCCCTGTTTGCAATAGTTGGAGCATCAGTCGTAGTTTTTAGTTAAGAAGGTTACACAAATAGCTTCCCTGAGTGGTAAAAAAAAAATGACAAGTGTGAGAAAGTTCAGCACTTGGCAGCGCATCAACACGATGCCAGGAAATAGGTCGGGACGAGACAGCTGATCGTGGCTGTCTTGTGTTTTGGTGCGACTGTGCGAGTGATAACACCCATACCCGAACACCCTAGGGCACGGTACCCACCCTGGCTTCACACTGCCCCTTCCTACCCACCCTGCAAGCCGTTCCTGCAGAAAAACGGGTTGTAAGCGACCCCAAAACCGCGAGGACGGACCGGTCTAGGAGTGATGTCCTGACTGCCTTGAGTCTAGCTGTGAGAGTTGTTTTAGTGTGGCTATGGACAGTCGCGAGACAAGAAGCCTCTGGGTGTTCGGCTATGGCAGCCTCTGCTGGCATCCTGGCTTTCAGTTCGGTGCCTCCACTGTAGGATACATCCGTCACTATGTCAGGAGATTCTGGCAAGGAAACTCGACCCACCGTGGCACCGTCACCAAGGTAAGGCGCCCCCTGTCACTTATTTTATTGTTTCATCACTTAAACCAAGATTCATTTGTCGTGTGTGTGGGGGATGTTGGTGCTGTGGGGGTGGAAGTGGCCTCCAGAGCCTCCACCTACACAAACACCTCCACCACCACAAGTGGAAATCCTGAGACCTTTGGCAACGAGGCCTGACGATCGATGCAGTACCATGCAACTTTCACTCTTCTCGCTCCATAGTTGAGTGTGGTGTCACCTTATCTGCCATAGATGACCCTCGAGGTCACGCTTGTGACCTGGGGTCGGGAAGGTTAAAGGAAGGACTCAAAAGGGAAGAGGGAAGGCAGGATTTGCTGGGATGTGGAATTAGTTCCGTGACCCCCTTCAGTGTGTGTCAGTTTTAATAATGTGCATGCGCGCGCGCACGCACGTACGTACACACACACACGCGCATACACACACGCACGCGCACACACACACACACACACACACACACACACACACACACACACACACACACACAGAAAAGGATCTTGGGGTGAGTATAACACCGGGCACATCTGTGGCGCACATCAACTAAATAACTGCTGCAGCATATGGGCGCCTAGCAAACCTAAGAACAGCATTCCGACATCTCAATAAAGAATCGTTCAGGACCCTGTACACCGTGTACGTCAGGCCTATATTGGAGTGTTCAAAACCAGTTTGGAACCCACAACTATCCAAGCATGTAAGAAAATTAGAGAAAGTGTAAAGGCTTGCAACAAGACTAGTTCCGGAGTTATGGGGTATGTCCTACGAGAAGAGGTTAAGGGAAATGGACCTGACGACACTGGAGGAGAGACAGGGGGAATTATGATAACGACATATAAAATACCGAGAGGAATCGACAAGGTGGATAGAAACAGAATGTTCCAGAGATGGTACACAGCAACAAGGGGTTAAAATTGGAAGTTGAAGATTCAGATGAATCACAGGGATGTTAGGAAGTATTTATTCAGTCACAGAGTTATCAGGAAGTGGAACATTCTGGGAAGTGATGTAGTGGCGGCAGGATCTATACATCTATAACTTTAAGAAGAGGTATGATAAAGCTCATGGAGCAAAAAGAGCGACATAGTAGCAGCCAGTGAAGAGGCGGAGCCAAGAGCTGTGAATCGACCCCTGCAACCACAACTAGGTGAATACACACACACACGAGATGGGACACAGCAACAAGGGGTCACAGCTGGAAGTTGAAAACTCAGATGAGTCACAGGATGTTAGGAAGTACTTCTTCAGTCATAGAGTTGTCAGAAAGTGGAACAATCTGGAGAGCAATGTAGTGGAGGCAAGATCCATACACAGCTTTAGAAAGAGGCAAGATAAAGCTTATGGAGCAAGGTGTGGACCTAGCAGCGATCAGGGAAGATGCGAAGCCAGGAGCTGTAACTCGACTCCTGTAACCACAAATAGGTAAGAACACACACACACAAGGGGTTGTGACACACACACACACACACACACACACACACACACACACACACACACAACACACACACACACACACACACACACACACAGGGGGTTGTGACACACCTGCTCTTCACCTGATGACATATCTGTACATTACAGCCTGGGCGTGTGGCTACCTTGGTGGAGGAACCTAATGTGAGTACACTTTTTCTTACAGTTCTCTTCCTGTTTAGATCCTGTTTAATCCTGCATCGGTCTTTTTCTGCCACTCTTTTGATTCTGTTCTGATCATATATTGATGGATCTTGATTTGATATAGTTCTCATCCTGTTGCGATTTTGCTTTAATTTTCTTTTAATCTTGTTTTAATTCTCGTTTTAGTTTTATTTTGTTTCACTGTTAATCTTATTCTGATTATATTTTAACCTGTACTATCTTATTTTGACTGTGGTTTAGGTCCTGACTTGATCTGGTTTTTGTCCTGGTTTGATCCTATTTTCGTGCTGGCTTTTGATTTTTATTTTTTTTACAAATCACTAGAAATGTTCGGTAATTAATTACTTTGAACATATACCATTTCTATCATCAAATTTACACTGTCATTATCAACTTGTTATTGCTGACAACAATTCATTGTCGTATTTCATACTTCATAATCAGAAAATAATTAAAATTAAGAGTCAGGTTTTCACATTCCATAATCCATATCCACAATTCGTTGTCAAAAGGGAAAATAACCTTACCATTTATGCCAAAACATGCTGGGTTCTTAGGTAGCCACCCTGTGGGAATTGTGGCACCCTGGCGCACCGGTCAGGGGTGACGTCACTGGGTTCCCTCCCTCTTTGGTAGATGGGTGGGACCCCTCACTAGCCTGGATGACGTCATGGAGCTTCTCGTCCAATGGAAAGAGAAGGAGGGAGGGGCTGATTTGCCAGGGTGACGTCACTGGGCTCCTTGGCCAATGAGGGGAGGTGGACAGAACTTGAGAAGATGACATCACGGGCTCGTTGTTATCCCCACACACACACACACACACACACACACACACACACACACACACACACACGGGGCCAGGAGCTGAGTCTCGACCCCTGCAACCACAATTAGGTGAGTACACACACACACACACACACACACACACACACAACACACATACACACACACACACACACACACACACATACACATACACATACACACACACACACACACACACACATACACACACACACACACACACACACACACACACACATACACACACACACACACATACACACACACACACACACACACATACACACACACACACACACACACACACACACACACACACACACCACACACACACAGTTACATATCCTTTTTCCTGTGTGATGAATGGTTTGGAAAACCGACAAGTTGAAGATTGAGACACTTATGCAACATATGGGAATCTTTATTCAGGAAACGTTTCGCCACACAGTGGCTTCATCAGTCCATACAAAGGAGAATGGTGAAGAACAGGAGGAGTTTGAGGTAATCAGTCCCTCATCCTTGAGGCGATGTGACCTTTTCATCAATCCTGAAAAGAATAAAAATTATACGTGCGAAGAAGTGGCTTATATGCTGTATTCTTTTCAAGATTGATGGACTGATCACATCGACTCAAGGCTGAGGGACTGATTACCTCAAACCCTCCCTGTTCACCATTCTCCTTTGTATTGGACTGATGAAGCCGTTGGCGAAACGTTTCTTCAATAAAATTCCCCTGTGTTGTATAAGTGTCTCAATCTTCAACTTGTCGGTTATAAACTATTTATCACTTTCCCTCGGTGGTAGCGAGGATTTATTTACATAAGAACATAAGAAAGAAGGAACACTGCAACAGGCCTACTGACCCAAGCGGAGCAGGTCCATGTTTCCCCCCCGGATTAGACCAATGACCCATACCCCGGATTATTCCAATGACCCACCCAGCCTGGTCATCTCCACTCAAGGATGGAGCACTGTACCAGACCCAGAAGCACAAGCTAGTCAGGTCAACTCACACCCACCCACACCCACTCATGTACTTATCTAACCTATTTTTGAAACTACACAACGTTTTAGCCTCAATAACTGTACTCGGGAGTTTGTTCCACTCATCCACAACTCTATTATCAAACCAGTGCTTTCCTATAGCCTTCCTGAATCTGAATTTAAGTCTGATTGTGTAACAATTGGGTATGTTTATTTACGAAACGTTTCTCCAATACGGTAGACGTTTCAGTCTATTACAGAGGTGTAGATAAATGGTCCAGAGAACCAACAAGTTAATATATTAGACACGTGCAAAGCCTGGGCAAGTTAACTGTGGAAACGTTTCGTCACACACTGGCTTCCTCAGTCCAAGACAAAGAAGAATGGTTGATCTTCGACTATTCTTCTCTGTGGCGAAACTTGTCCATAATAAAGATACCCAAGTGTTGCACATATGTATAATTGATTACAAATGTGACTAAATACGAAGACTTCAGAAGCAATGGAGAGATACACACGACATTATCAATCCATCAGTCTTGGAGAAGTGGTGGTGAAGTGTTCAGTTCCTGTGTCTTGATCACTTCGACTTCACCTCTCCACTGCGTCTGCTGACTCCATATTTAGCCACCTTTGTATTCCACTAAAGAAGCCTACGGTGTAAGCTTTTTCAGTCGAATAAAAAATAATAAAATAACTAATAAAAATAAAAACCAAAAAGTACCTAACTGTTGGACGTGTCTCTTATTCGTACAGGTTAGGTGACCTGTATATGTGGCAGATTAGTGCTGCAGCTCCAGGAGAGGAAATGCAGTGTGTGGAGACGAGGATAAAGACACTCTCAAACACTATCTTAGTAAATAGCAGATCACAATACAGAATTAATACTTTTTTATAAGGGAGCTCTAAACCCATAGGCATTATACAGCGCGTGTACTCAATTCAGGGAACTGGAGTACAAATCCAATTGTCTAGATCAAGAGCCCCTCATTAGCATCAAGGAACCTCCCTACTTAAACGTTTGAAAAGTGTAAGCAAGTTGCAACTACGGTTTGAAAGATCTTTAAAAAATATGCAGAATGTATATGTAATTAATTGTAATTTGTAATGAGTGACAACTGTAAATCAGGAAATTGTAATTAACTGCATCTTGAAACAAACAAGGATGGAGTTAATATCCTCAGTAGTGGTGCATCAGTTATATGGGCTGTACATGGCTTTTATACTTATATCTTCGCAAAGTTGTTGCTGCCTACGATTCCAACTATGGTGCTCCTGCAAGAACAATTATGCTGAGCCAATGCTAATGTAAGCTGGGGGAGAGTCTCTTCGGCCCTTGGGGGAAATACAAAGCGAAGCCCTCAGAATTATTCTTGGTTGTCCTAAAATTGCCAAGATTATTAATATGAAGCAGCAGCAGCTTGGTGTTGCTAGTATCAGTGATAGGATAGCCGAGATTAACACTGTACTTGGTATTAGAATATTAAGAAATGAACAAAGCACTGTCACTACAAACCTTACTAAACGTCTAGCAGTAAATAAACACATATCTTAATGGGTTGTGAAAATATGGGTTGTGAAAATATGGGTTGTGAAAATATGCTGTTATATTATGTCCTCTAACATGCACGAGCTATATCTCTGAAGAAAACAAAAAACATTTCACTCCTCCTTGGAAGACGTATTCATTTAATATCACATATCTTAAAAACCCGTCCCAAAAAAGCTCATCAAGTAATTCCTTCTTTAAATCACTAGCAAAGGCAACTACCCAAGAAGAATTTTCTTGACTGTTAGTAATGATACATCACAATTTATATACAGTAGTGGATCTAAGCAGTTCACTGTCAGGGATGCATCTGTTCTTGTTACCACCTCCCTAGATAAGAACTGTATATATCCTGAGCTAGGAATAATTAACAACTGGGCGTCTACACTGCAAACTGAATTGCTTGTCATCCTAATTTCACTAAAGGTAACTTATGACACTGAACTTCACTCTCTGATTATACTGATCCTGTGTCATCATTAAGGGCGCTTGACTTGCATAATGACTAATATGCTTATTGGAAAAGCCAGGTATAGATACTCGAAAGTCATATAATAAAGGAATTAATGTACATTTTTGTGTCAGTCATATTAAGCAAATATCCTAAATTTGCTTGTAACAGACGAGTCAAATATCAGCTATAAATCTAGATGTGTGCCTGTTAACACTTTTGGAGCCTAGTTCTCAGGCCTATTGTGTATCAATACGTTCTTGCGTTACCGGTTACATGATGGATGTGGAATGCATGATAAACTAGCCACGACGAAGGCATGAAACCTAATCACTCACTAAATGAGTGGCACTGCCCAGTACTGTCTTTATGGTTCAGTGTTCACTCTCTGGATGAGTGGCACTGCCCAGTACTATCTTTATGGTGCCGTGTTCACTCTCTGGATGGGTGGCACTGCCCAATACTGTCTTTATAGTGCAGTGTTTACTCTCTGGATGAGTGGCACTACCCAATACTGTCTTTATGGTGCCGTGTTCACTCTCTGGATAAGTGGCACTTCTGAATTCTTCCTCTTGGCATCACCACCTGAAGATGGAGGATGACAGAGACGGGGGGGGGGGGAGGTGGAATCGGGATGGTGGTTGAGGCAGGCTGGTAAGGCGTGACATATATTTTAGACCTTAAAACGTTGTAGTTCGTCACAACAGGATGATGACATATCCGGCGTAAATGTGTGTGTGCATTTATAGTTGGTCATGAGCTTAAGTGTGTGTGTGTGTGTGTAATATATATATATATATATATATATATATATTAATATATATATATATAATATATATATATATATATATATATGGGGAAGTGGAAAAGAATCTTTCCTCCGTAAGCCATGCGTGTCGTATGAGGCGACTAAAATGCCGGGAGCAATGGGCTAGTAACCCCTTCTCCTGTAGACATTTACTAAAAAAGAGAAGAAAAACTTTATAAAACTGGGGATGGTGAAAGTTTTTCTTTTTCGGGCCACCCTGCCTTGGTGGGAATCGGCCAGTGTGATAATAAAAAAAAAAAAAATATTATATATATATATATATATATATATATATATATATAATATATATATATATATATATATTTAGTGTGATGTCACCGTGGTTGTTTAATATATTTATAGATGGGGTTGTAAGAGAAGTA